GTAACAAATTTTGTAAAAAAAAAAAAAAATTTACTTGCAAACTCGTTTACATCCACCGCGGATTTCCTAAATTCTTACCAAAAATCAGACATCTTACTCCTTTTCATTGCTGCTTGCCGCAGCAATGAGCCACGTAACAAATACTTCAAATCTGACTATTACAATCTTAGCAAGATAAAATCGCGCTATACAAATTTGTATATGATCATTATCGAGCGGATGTGTTCAAAGAGGAACACTTGCGTAACCTAAAATGTTTATTTTAAACTCAGCAATCAAATCGCTGGTTATATCGCTTTATGTTCATTTTAGGAGCAGAGATGTTTATTGAAAATATTTCCGTAAACCGAAATGATCATTCCAAACCCAGCAACCAATACGTTGGTCGCAACGCGATACAAGTTCATTTATGGACTCGTTAAAACAGAACTCGTCTGTAAACCAAATATGTTCATCAGAAAACCCAATAATCAAGACATTGGTCCTAACCGCAAGACTTGTCCATGGACGGAGCACACTTGTTAAGTACAAACTCGTTTGTAAACCGGACACATCATCGTGAAATCCAAAAACGAATCATGGATACATCAAAAAACCTAAAGTAACTGTTATAACGGGTAAGTTCACGTAAACCCATCCGTAAACTATGATACTTAGGAAAATGAATCACCTCAACGGATTTCCTGCAACGAATCACCTCAACGGATTTCCTGCAGAGAAAACTCGCAGAAATCCTTAACAAGTTTCCCGCGAAATCCTTACGGAGGAAACTCGCGAAAAATCCTCAACGAGAGAACTGCGCAAAAATCCTTAACGGACATCCCGCGGCAAGCTTCGAAACAAAAGTAAAAATTGCTAAGTCTTTGGATATCTCAGAAAGAACATTTTGACTTATCGCAAGAAGAACATCTTAATAAACAAAAGTCGTATTCATTATCATCTTGTATCAAACATGAGTTCAAAAGCAAAAACAACGCATAAGTCAAGTCTTCCATGGAGTCCTGTGTTTGCAAGGAAACACTCGCCTTGTAGCCAACTCAAGTCAAACTTCACGCAGGAGATGGCAGAGGAAATTGAGCGTTCTTATGAGACCCCAGCAGAAGGCACTTGTGTGAATACGGAATTTATCATGCCGCAAAACAATAAGCCCTACTGTGACCCTCCAAGATTTGGAATTGTCCGCTTCCACGCCTTCGCAGCACGTCTTTGCGGTACACCTTCGGGGTTCGCCTTTGCGGATCACCTTCCCAGATCGCCTTCGTCGCATGCCTTCGTGGATCGCCTTCGCAGATCATCTTCGTGGATCGCCTTCGTGGATCATCTTTGCGGTACGCCTTTGGGGCTCGCCTTCGTGGATCATCTTTGCGGTACGTCTTTGGGGCTTGCCTTCGCGGATCGTCTTCCCGGCTCGTCTTCGCGGCTTGGGAGAAGACATTAGGTTCTGGCTCTCTCCAGACATAGTGACGTGGTTCAAGTTTTCACAAGACCCACGACACCGTATGAAACTCACGAAGTGGAATAGGTTTAACCACCCGTGGCTCGGAGTCCACCAACACAACACAAGTTTCACGCGAACCACGGACAACTCGTGTTTCCTCCTTAAACGGATCGAGTGCCCAACGGATCGGGTTCAACGCAGTTGATTTCTTTTCAAACCAACTCAAAACAGGTTTCATGCAAACCGAGGATAACTCGTGTTCCCTCCTGAAACGGATCGAGCGCCAAACGGATTGGGGTCACCCTACGGCTTGGGTCACCACGGTACGGTTCCTAATCTCGCAAGGGCACAGCTCGGGTCACCAAAACACAATGGCTCACGGTAACGACTCGAGGTGGTTTCTCCACAGTTTTGGGCGTTACAAACAACATGATATGGGCTAAACCACAACGGATCTCGTGGCTCGGTTTGGTTGTCACGGTTCGGGTTTGTTTCCACACGACACGGTTCGGGACCACAGTGACTTGGGATTTTCACCGGAAACTGTAGCCGACAGTGACAAAAAAAAAAAAACTGTGACGGAGTTGACTCACTGAGTCAACGCGTCAGATCTCAAAACCGCCGGATCTTGCCGCCATCTCGTCACGATTTCTCTCTCTGACTGGCACGATCTCTCTCTCACCACTGGCACGATTTCTCTCTCTCTCACCACTGGCACGATTTCTCTCTCTCTCCTCGCCGTTTTCTCCCTCTCCCTCTCTCGATCTCGCCGGAAAAACGGTTAAGGCTCGTGGCCACAACTTCGGTTCGGGTTAAACAACAGTCAGCGAGACAAGGACGAGTCAAGGGCAGCACGTATCAACGCCAAACTCCTCGCTGGAATATGCAGCTCCACCGAAGAAACAAAAACCGCTGGCGCTTTTTAAAAAAAAAATAATAATAAGCTACTATATAAAAGTTGATAGGATCTCTCCATGTGCTGCCACATCAGCAGAGGGAAACTTGCCACCTGTACAAAAAAAATGCTTCTCTCTCAATGAAGTCGTTACCTCTGCTTAAGTATTATAAAAACCTTGATTACAATCGATCCGACTGCCACAAATATATTCTGCATCCATGATCATTCAGAAGCTGATCTGATTTTTTAGGCACCACAAAAGTCTACCAACAAGATGGTAATGAACCCATCTTCAAAGATTCAACCCAGCCCTAGAGTGACATCGAGGAAAAAGATAGAGTTTAACAAGGATTTGTTCAGTGAGGATGGTGGTCGCGTCGTTGGGTTTGCTAGTCTGGACTCTTTCAGCTTCGAATCAGCTGCTCTTTTTGGGTTTAAGTTTCAAGTTTCCAAGGTTAG